GAACTAAATCACAATGTTTTACAAAGTTGAAGGATGAATAAACTGCAAAGATTGAGAACTAAATTATAGAATTCTAAAATCTAATAATTTAAAGTGCAAAAATTTTAGAAAGTTGAGGACTTGCTTTTTTGTTTGTCTAACTTGGAATTATTTTAAATTATTCTAGAAATTCTACCACGCCTCTTTTATTTCTTTCTTTCTTTCTTTTTTTTGGTTTATTCATTTACATATAAATTGAAAATAAATTGAGCCTTACTGTTATAAAATTGTAAAGGTACTAAAAAAATGTTATGCCAAATTCTACCCCTTGTTTGCTGCCCACCTCTGCTTGATGCAAGGCATCGAGTTTCAGTTGGATGTGGTATGACTTTTCGTTGTGTAATGGCTTGTTTTATGTTTTGGTTTGTCTTATTATGCTGTGGTTCATCACTTGCGTGTGCAGCAAAGCTGTGTAATTTATTTATGCAGTCCTTAGTCAATTAGTATATATGTTGAGTATTCCTTGTATTCTGAAATTTACATAATTTAATTTATCTAAAAAAATTCTAAAACAAAAAAAATGAATAAAATTAATAGGAAATTAAATCTATTAAGGTTGAATTGTATTATTTAATAAAAGTTAGAATTGATCTAACTTTAATAGATATTTTAAAAAATCAATTAAGTATTTATTGAAGATTTTTTTTAAAAATCTAATTGATATCTATTTGAAAATTTTAGGATGAAGTTAATTGTTACAACAGTTATATATATATAATTAAGATTAGGATAAAATTAAGATGTTACCTCTACTCGACCTCTCTTTAAGTTCTTGCTCCTCTGGCATTTTGGCTAATTGCTTCCAAACATCCTTGGCCAAGTTGGTCGAGCTGTCCTTTACTTGACGAAAAATAGATTGCGAACAGCTCGAAAGAATTGCATGTAGGGCTGCAGCATTCTTTTTCTTCCAATTGCAGTCCTGACTATTCCCATATTCAACAATGTCCCAAAGATCTTGGGCCAATAAATAATTTTTAATGTAAACTTTCCAATCTTCATAATTATTTTTATCTTCTTCAAGAAGAAAAGGAACAATTACAGTACTCGAGTTGCCGCAGCTTATTGCCATTTTAAATCTGTCAAATTAAACCGTAAAAAGTGTTATCTTATTAGATCATATTGTAACATCTTTCTCCAGCCATACACCATAAATGATCCAAGACTCGATCATGCAAGAAACCCTTTTGATGAATACCAAGTAAAATGCCCTGGCACAGAGCCATAAAAAATAACTCAAGGAATAACTTCATTCACACTAAGCGAGAATGTCAATGGTAGACCTAGACGCAAAGACATTGTTTCTTGATTGTGAAAACCATCAAGGCTGTGGACCTGGTATTAGTTTTTTGAATGCACATATGTTGAACAGAGGTCGCAGAAAATGATCGGAAATATCACTGTTAAAAATCTATCCCGCAAACACGGTAAAATAAATAAATAAATCCCCCAAACGAGGAGTTCAGGGTGGGTTTCCTCAGGCGGAATAGAGAGAACTGAAACATGATTTTGTCAATATTGTATTATTTGACTGTATTTTTTCTAATTTTAAGTTTGAGATTCATATATATAAATATAAGGCATCTGCTTCCACACAAATTTTACATATTATATTTATACAAAATCTCAACTATTTATCTTTTTATTTTTAAAGTTGAGATTTATTCATATTTATTAAAATAATTATCTTTTCACCTAAAAATTTATAATAAATCTCAATTATTAAAAGTAAAAAATAAATCGTTAAGATTTATTATAATTTTTTAGTTAAAAATGATAATTATTTTTAATAAATATGATAAAAATAAATAAATTTTGATCATTAAAAGTAAAAAGATTGGTTATGATTTTGTGTAAGTGTAGTGCTTAAAATTTGTACAAGTGTAGTGCTTAAAATTTGTACATAAGTGGATCCTTATACTATATATATAGAGAGAGATAATAGGATTTCACTTAAATACAAATCTTATGCATTATGTTTATATAAAATCTTAACTATTTCTCAAATAATTGAAAATTATTGAGATTTATTTATATTATTAAAAATAATTATTTTTTTACTTAAAAAATCGTGACAAATCTTAATTATTAAAAGTTAAGAGATTAATAATTGAGATTTATATAAGTATAATATGTAAGAATTATATGTGAAGAGATCCCTCCTCATATATGTAAATAACATAAAAAAGTAATAAAGCAGTATCTTAATTAAAGAAAAATAAAAAAGGGAAGAATTTATTCAAAGCAGCCATACCACGAAGCAACCCCATTAACAAAAAGGAAAAAAAAAATTGCCGACCAACAAGTGAAATTTACGCAGATTTTTTTTTTTTTTTAGTTTGATTGGTGTGATAAATATATGGCATGGTTCATTTTCACACCACTAACTTATTGCGTATTTATAAATATAAGAAAAATGATTAGTATACTTTCCAGTTCAATGCACCTAACAACATATATTGATTCATTTATTAAAATTTACTTTTGAAAATTTTTCCACCTTAAATTCAAATTTAAAAATTTTAGTTTCTTAACAATTAAACTGATAAGTATTGTTAGGTGTATTGAACTAGAGAATATGCCAATTATTATCCTATATATAAAGTTATAAGAGTGTTTGGATTTGCTATTTAAATATAATTAATAAATTATATATTTTAAATACTATATAATTTATCTAATTAAAATCAATAACTGATAATTATTTTGAGAAGCTAAAATAAACACTCTAAGGTAATGACAAATCATCAATTGAATTCCTTTCTTCATGCCTTTTACATGCCATATAACTCCATCAAAAGCGATTCTTCTAGAGAAATGATAGAATTTCCACTAAATCATTCGCAGCAAATGTTGAAAAAAAGTGACAGATACTTAAAAGTTAATCAAAGAATAGAATCAGCTCCAAACAAAATGTGGAATTATTCACTATTAAGCCTCCTAAATTTGGCCCCATATATACTCTCTAGAAGTATCATTCCCTTTGATGTCCGAAAACACCGCAACATATATTTTATTTCTTAATCAAATTATTGAGTATATAACTCTTTATTCAAAGTATAAAATAAGTTAATATTAATAAGCTTCTACAAGAATTGGGAATATGTATTTCATAACATTTTTTTCTACTAAATTAAATGAAATCGGTGAGTATTTGTGGAAAAAGTTAAATAAAAAAACACTTTAGAATTATGTTAATTTAGGGAAATATCATTCCAATGTCAAGTGTGCAAATTACGTTATACACCCAATACCATCTAACTCAAAAATCCATCTCATCTCCATTCTTTAAGTTCATAATCTTAAGATAATTCACAGACTATATTTAGTGAATTAGGAAGTGAATATGCAATTCCATCAACAAAACTTCCTATTATAAGCCTTATGCAAGTGGAATTAAAAATCATTGAAGTCTCTTAAATTTCATTATGGAAGTACGTATCTATCATTCCAAAATAAGATAGTGTTTAACTTTAGTTCAAATAATAATAATAATAATAAGATAGCAATGCTCTAAAGTGTGCAAGCCATGATAGAACCATTTAGAATCCCTAAACCCTAAGATTTAATTCAAGTGGCAAACTTTAGTCAAATTATGCAATCTTCAAAGTTTAGTCAATTTAAGCTTAAACCTTAGTCCTAGGCATACTTAAACATTGTTTTAAGTTAAGCTTGAATTAACATTTAGAGTATAATTTCTATTCAAGGCCAAATCTACCCCTATTTTTAGTTCAACGCATAAATTGTACTTTTAGATCACCTCAAGCATAAAACTTTTAAATTTTATCAATTAAGTCCTCTATGTGGTAAATTACTTAAAATCAAGGCAAAAGCCATACGTAAAAATTCTACTTTTAATTCCACAATGCACTAAAACTCTTAAACTAAAATTGTAAAGTAGTATTTAATTAAAATGATCTTAAAAACATTAAAAGCATTAATAAATTATACATTTACGAAAAGATGAAAATGCCCTTCAACAAACCCAAAATGGCTGAACCAATCCTAAACCATTTTTAAATATTCTTCTTAGTGCGTAATTCAGGCTCTAATCACCTTAAAAAGGCAAATACATCAACTAAAGTATTAAAACCTAACAATTCTACAAATTGATAATTTAGGTCATAATACTCAATTATATTGAGCAATTAATGATAATTTTAGCCGTAGAATTGAAGTTCATGTTTAATTACATGTTAATTAACAATTTAGCATATAAAACACAAAAACAGCTTCCAATTTGTCAAGAATTTATGATCAAATCCATTAAATCATTAAGGAAGAATGATAGATCAAACAAATATACACCACAAATATGAAATTAAGAAACAACCAAAGATAAGAGTTTTCAAAAGGAGAATGAATCTCATAAAAATTCAACTCTATCCTATTCTTATACTTACCTCTAGCATCCAAAAAATGTAAAAATTATAAGTCTCTAGGTAATCACCTTGAATTTCTAAGCTTTTCCTCACCAAAAATGGCCAAAGCTCTCAAGCTTTTTCTTCTCCAATAGCTCACGGGTTTGAGGGAAAGATGAAGACAACTTATGTCTTCTACATTCTTCTCTTTCTTATATATACTAGTTTTCCTTTTTTTTTTTTTTTTTTTTTTTTTTTTTTGAACAAGGAGAATTGTTTTACAAATATTCCTATTATACTGTAGAAATGGGGGAAAGTGATCTCCGAAGTCGACCATTAAACCCCAGTGGTGTTCCCACTGAAGGCACTTGCCTAGCGTGCGGAGCGTTTTCCAATTAGTTAAAGAGTCATACACTTTGTTTAATTTTTATTTTTTTTTGAGGAATACACTTTGTTTAATTTTAATTGGTAAACAAAGTCAATTCCAATAAGTCCAAAGGCCCATACTTACCTCCAATTTCCCTTGCGTGGCGGGCCATTCCCACAAGCCAAAAATTAATGTCCAATCAATATGGGTAAATTGCAATTTAACTCCCTCTAACTCATTAATGTCCAAACACTATTAGTCCATGGTTCACAAAGTTAAAGATAATGGCTCGCGTGATTCTCAAAAACTCAAAATTAATACTTAAACCCCTTATTTCTTGATTTTTTATAAAGGGCTGAAACTATTAACTATTGCACCATTAAGAACTGTAACTTCTAATCTTTACACATAAGGTTATAACTAAGCTACAAAATCATAAAATATTATAAATTAGACTTAATTAATCATCCATTGGTTAATATTAAGTCTAAAATAACCAACTTTCCCATTGGTCTAATTAACTCCAAAGCAAAGGTACTTGATTAACAAATTTACTCATTTCCACACTGAAGCTCCGAAACTTTCAATCAACAAATAAGGACTAGCCATCATTGTTGACCTTTCCTAATTCTTTAGGTTAAATCTGTAGTAAGGAATCTTACCCTTAACCCATTTTTACTAAAAGATCCCTACTTGCAAGTTATGCAATTAAGGACATAGTCTAAAGGAAACACCTCCTCCCACCCTCTCTTTATTTTTAATAGTTAGATTGATTTTTTTTTTAATATTTTAGAAATAAATTTTAGGTGAATATTTAATAATTTATATAAATAATAATTAAAATTTTTCTTTTCTATATATAAT